AAACATTACGCTTTATACTGTACATTACTGTACAGTATTTGCATTTTTCACACACAACGGCACTTTCACTGACAATATCATTGTTGTGATACAGTGTACTGTTTTTAAACACACCTATTTGTGTTCAGCCAAGTCTCCCAAGTATAACAGTACCACCCATGTATAGGTTTTATAGTGGTTTTTAAGGTTACAGGGTCAAATATAAGGCTTGCCCATTTCATTTTTTTTCACATTTAAATTCGCCAGATTGGTTACATTGCCTTTGAGACCGTATGGTAGCGCAAGAATGAGAATTACCCCCATGATGGCATACCATGGAGAGAGAGCGGAAGAAAACCAAGCAGATGGTATACTTTATTTATATATATGCGAACGCATAAACACATGAACACGTATACTCATGAACTCATATCCTTAAATATAAATGCACAGTCACATAAATTGTCCAAGCATACGGCTGTCCCTCAAAATTGAAGGCAAACAGGTACTGAGAGTCAGGATGTACAGGGACACAAAAGGAAGCGTCTACCAAATCTATCACACCAAACCAGGAGGCGTCCAAAGGAATTTCTCCTAGAATAGTGGGGGGATTTTGGACAAGTGGGGAATCCTCTTGAATGATTTTATTTACTGCCCGCAAATCATGAATCAGGCGGAACTGCCCCAGTCTCCCAGGCTTAGCCACAGGCCACAAGGATGTATTTACAGGTGATTGTGTGGGAGTCAGGATCCCCTGATTCACAACATTTTTAATTTGTTCTCTTACATCATTTAATTGTTTCATGCGGAGGGGATACTGAGGAATCCTGGGCAATTTAGCTCCAGGTCTGAGCTTAATGACCACTGGGTCTGCTTGTTTTATCAGGCCCAGTGGACCACCTTTTATAGCCCAAAGTTCTAGAGGGACATCTTTCAGGTCAGGTGGAATATCCTGCTCTGGAAGGATGCGAATTGCCATTAGGGTGATCACAATGTGTTGTGGTCTTCTGATCCCACTAATGTAGTGACAACCAGTTCATCCTCTGTATATTAGATGTTCGTCTTTAGTTTCATCAGTGCATCTCTTCCCAGCAAATTGCAGGAGACGGTGTCACTGAGGACAAAGGAGAGGGAGGTCTCAACTGGACCTATAGTCACAGGAGTTTCTACAGTCTCCTTCAGCATGATGGTTTTACCTGCTAGTTCTATAGCATCAATTTGTCCAGAAATTTCCAAATTTGTGGCTTCTGATATTTTGAGAACACTGCAGGCTGCTCCAGTGTCCATCAGGCACTCCACAGAATGGTATGGCTTGTCAGAGAGGGTCAGGCGAACAAAGGCATCACCTCTGCTCTCAGAGATGACTGGTAGCACTGGAAACCCTGCCCGTCAATCGCTCTCCTGTCTCCCCCGCTTTGGGGCCATGCAGTCCTTTGCAAAATGACCCAGTTTGTTACAGTTCTAGCAGTTATTTTCTGGGTTCCCCTCGGTTTGTTCCTCTGAACTGCTTCCATTGAGGTTTCCCAGGGGCACTGACTAGCATGACCCTCTGGGCTTTCTTTTCCTGCACTTCCTCAATGTTTCTTTGGATTGAGCGCGCTAGGCTAATTAGTGCTGGGACTGACTTGTCTCTCCAATCAGAATGGGCAGAAACCAATTTGTCATGGATTTCTTTATTCAGTCCAGACACCAATGTGGCAGTGAGCATCTTTTCCATACCTTAGTCATCAAGGTTACCTCCTGCCTCTTCCACAGTCTGCCTAAATCTTTCAAAGTAGTCTTCCACTGGTTCTTTAGCCTTTTGCTGGATATTTGTCACCCGGACCCAAGACTGTGGAGGGAATACCTCCGTAATTTTATTCTTGAGTTGGTTGACATATTCCAAAGCCCTAAGTGGGGTATTCTCTACCTCTGATGGATTAAGTGGCAAGGTAAGTTTAGTACAGATGGCAGTGGTGTCTATTTGACCATCCACAACTCTTATTATCTGCAGCAGATCCCTCCACGTGGAGTTATAACTGACCGTGATATTGTACAGCTCATTTACAAACCCATATGGGGCTTAGGGACTGATGAGAGAAATCCTGACCATTTGTGCCTGGAATAAACTGCTCTCTGATTGGGTAAGCTGAGGCTTGAGGTGATAAAAGTTCTTCAGCCATTTTGCTTACCTCCTCAGAGTCTGTTTTTGGAGTGCTTAGGAGTTCTCCTACCACTCCACAAAATACTTTTCCTCCCCTCGGGGCACAAAGATCTTGCCACGAGGGGGCACAAATGATGGGGCAGTGGCTCTGACTTGGGGTTCAACATATAGGGGGGTGGGAGATTCAATCTTCCAGTGGGGTATGTCATGGTTGGACCAACAGGAGTTTTTGGTTTGGCCCTTAGGTCTCTCAGGGTCTCTGTATTGTTCACAGCATGCTCCACTAGAGAGATTGCAAGCAGCTCTATCTGTTCTGCCTCTTCCCTTTCTAACTCAGACTGACTCTCCTCCCTCTACTGGTCTGTTCTCTCTGACGCTGTCTTAGTCTCTACAGTAAATATACCTTGGGACTTTTGCTGTCTCTGATAGGATTCTACAGTCCATCTACTAGAAGCTGCATTCGGTTCTACTAATTTTTGTTTGAAATTTTTGTAGAGATTCTCCCAGCGGGGTAATTCAAAGGTTCCCCCTTTGGGATTCCCAAAATCCATTCCCTTAGTCAACTTGCTCCACTTTGGCAGATGCCGACTGACCCACATGCCATATTTCTTATTCATACTCTCCTGTGGGGTAGGAGGCATTTACTTGAGGGTGACGCAGTATCAACCTTCCTAAGATCATTTCCCATAGCCCGGCTATGATGGAGGGGACTCTTACCATTGTCTCTCGATTCTTAGCGACGCTGTAGCTGTCAGGGAAATTCCCACACTACAAATCCCCGCTTTTGATCTCTCCAAATTTTCCAACAGAACCAAATAATAAACAGCAGGTAGACTATTCCAAAAAGTATCTGGCCTCTTATATCATCAAAGTCAAACCACGCTAAGGTGCTTGATTTAACAGTCTGATTATTCATGGGAGACAAGTCTGCTACAGCTCTGGGACATGCCCTTTAGTATGGGAGAGTACAGGCTCAAACCAGAGTGACCAGGGTCATTTAGAGACAAAGCTGAGAGGTGATCAAAGGGGTTCGCTGTCGGTTCTCTGGGAGTAGCCCTGTACCCAATAGCTGCAGTGGACTGAAGCCGAATTTAACCGATGATGTCCAAAGGTTGAGCACAGGGGGTACCCAAAGACTTTGCACTTACAGATCAAGGCACACTTAGTAAGAAACTCTGCATTCACCCACACTTATCCTTCTATGATTTTTGTAGCCCATGGAGCAACGCAGTGTGGGGAGTGGGCCCTGACAGAGCCAGGGAGTGGGCATGGGCTTATGTTTGTGGGCCGGGTTTAGGGAGTGGAGTTTGGGGGGGTGGAGAGTAGGAGTATAAGGAGCAGCCATGTTAGAATAGGGGCCATTTTAACCGGAGCCTCTCTTACCTGTAGATTGTTGCAGGTCAGCGAGGTTCCTTTTTTCTTTGTCTTTCTGCAGGTCCATGGCGGCGTTGGAAGAGCTCCTGGAGGGAGTTCGGGCGGCTGTGAGGGACCGTGGACTTGAGTGGCTGCATCAACAGCTGGGGGCAGCCGGGCCTTCCCCCACGGTACCGGCTCGCCGACCAGCCCGGAGGACGAGACCGCCGCAGCGGTTGAGCCCGGGCGCAGGGCCCGCGGCGAGACGCCGAAGAAGCCCTTCAGCGGGAAGAGGAGTGTCCACGGGGACAGGAGAGGTCCCGGTCGTGGAGCCGGGTAGGAGCACGGCTCGGGCTGGCGGGCGTGGCAGCGGTCTGGTGAGGACGGCCGTAAAGCACCCGGCGGCCGGACAACGCACGCCGCGCAGGTCTGTGGCGGACAGGGGAGATGGAGCGGCAGCTTCCCATGATGCGGCCGGGTCGGCGGCCAGGGCAGAGGACGGCCACGTGAGCGGGAGTGTGGGGCCTGAACGTCCCGGTGAGTCAGCCACTGTTGGCACCGCTGTGGGGCAGGGAAATGTTGATAATGGGGGAATGGGGGCACGAACAGCCACCCATGTGTCTGGGGGAGGCTGGGACAGCGAGGTCAGCGCAGGGACGGCCCAGGCAGGGGCCAGGAGGGAGGATGGCAGTGGTGGCATGAGCGCACAGGAGACGGCTGGACGCGGAAGGGGGAAGTGATGTGTCCTTCGTGGGCCCCCTGGGATGCCACTTAAAAGCAGACGTAAAAGATAAGATTTGGAAAGGTGAGTTTGTAGAGATCTTTTCCCTTCTCCCCCTCGAGGAATTCTTGGACTTGAAAGAGGAGGATAAGAAAGATGCCAAGAAAGAGGAGGAGGAAAAAAGGCGGAGGTATCGCAAGATACCGAAAACTTTTGGGAATTGGCTACGGGCCTTCTGTATTTTGGCAAGCGTTATAGGGGAAAAGAACCCGGGTCGTTGTTCGGAACTTTTTTATTACTTGGATGGGATAGGTGATGCATATCGAACCTACGGAGGATTGGCGTGGTGGAGGTATGATGAACAATTTCGCCAACGGCTAGCGGTGAATACGAGCATGCGGTGGGACCAAATGGATCTGCCGTTATGGATGCGCCTTATGATGGCGCAAAAGGCTGCGCCCTTTCTTGGGACAACCGGCACAGCCGCAGGAGGTGCCGTGTCGGCTGGGCAAAAGAAAGGCTTCTGCTGGATGTACAACGAGGGACACTGCAAGTGGGGGAATTCCTGCAGGTTCCGACATGAGTGTTCCGGCTGCGGGGGGGCTCATGGCGCCAGCCGATGCTTCAAGAAAGGTAAGCTTG